GGACACGGAGGCGACGGTTTCCTCAAGTTTCAGGACTCGGAAGAGATCACATCCGTCGAGTTGGGCGACGCCTTCGAGCAGATGTGGCAAAAGAGACGATACAACGAAGTGCTGCTAATTGTGGACACGTGTCAGGCGGAGTCACTCTCCCAGAAGATCTACTCACCGAACATACTGTCGATCGGGAGCTCCAAAGTGGGTGAGGACTCGCTCTCACATCACGGCGACCCCACGATAGGGGTGTATGTCATCGATCGGTACACGTATTATGCGCTCGAATTCCTCGAGAAAGTGCAGATCAATAGTCAGAAAACGTTGGGACAGTTTATGGCTGTCTGTCCCAAACGGGTCTGCATTTCGACGGTTAGTGTCAATACAGAGCACTATAATCGCGACGCGAATAAAGTGCCGCTCAATGACTTCTTCGGCAATGTGGCCGCCATTGACCTCATCAGTAGTGATCACTCGACGCGCGTCCAGACAATCCATATAACCAGTGATGATAAGAGTGGCGACAAAAGTGCGAACAGAAGTGAATACAAACTCGAAGCGAAACAAGTGGAGCATAACTGGCATTACGTGAATCCCTTTCCATTCGCGTTGATTTAGCATTTGATAAAACAATAGGTTTTTTGTAATAATTTATTGAAATATGAGAATTGAATAAAAAGAGACTTTTTATATATGATTAGAGATTTTTAATTTAAAATCCAATGAAAAGACAAATACATGAATAAAAATATAGAAGAGTTGTCTTAAAGCGGACTTTAAACCTGAATAACTTTTTACACGTTTTGTAATTTGTTTGGAAATTCTTAATACAAATACATTGAGATTTTTTAAATTAATTTAATTAATTAGAGATTCGACATCGAAAATAATGGTAACAAAAATAATAATTAAGAAATAAAAGCTATTATTTCTTATCAATTAATTGATTGATTTGATTATTATTGAAAATATGCGATCAATTTAGAGATTATAAATAAAAAACAGCTTTTTTAAAGTTATAATACAAATTGTTAAATAAAAACAGAAAAATTTAATGTTTTGTTATATAATATAAAAAATGTCCAAAAAATGTCTAGTATTTCGAAGAAATCTTTGATTTTATTATAATCTTGTGTTTGTGTCGAGTATTTATTGCAATTGAGCCGTTCGTCAAATAAAAAGCCATAAAATGTTTTATGTTTTTTGGCATTTCTCTCACTCTCTCGAGGCACAGAGAAATGACACAAAAATACATAAAATATTTGTATTGATAGTTGGAAACTGAAAACAACTCAGTTTTGTGTTATTGACGATAATATATATATTTTTTTCGGAAACCGATCGAAAAAACACATGAAAATTAAATAAAAAACTCATCATTCGTTTGTTTTGTTTAGTCTTAAATTTATAAAACTGTATAACAAAGTAATTAAAACTTTAATTTCAAGATTCAAATTAGCTTTCAATTCAAATATTAATCGCTCGTTGAAAGAGTGAAAATTATACAAAAATTGTCGTATTATTAGTATTTTCTAAAATCTTAATAATTTAGGCATTGATTCCGTTATAATGAATTGATAGTAAAAATCGATTGATTAAGAAAAATGATTAAAATAGATAATGACCTGAAAGCGAAAATGTTTGAATAAATTATTGAAACAAAAGCTAATTTTTCATGAACTTCTCGAAACGAAAGCATCACATATTTGTTGATTATTTAACAGTAATTATTGAAACAAATTGTATGTGTGTTTGTATTGAATGTATTATAATGTGTGAATCGTATGCATTCAATAGTAAAAATTGAATTCCAGATCAAAAAAGTTATTACCGATTGAACCGCTATTTGAAAAGACATCCCAATAATAATCAGTTATAATGCTGTCACGTATTTATTAATATTAAAGTAAAGTATTATATAAAATGATTGAATCCTCATTTCACCCCTCATTCCAACACACAAAAGGGTTTTACAAATTAAATACAAATTAACCAAAAACTTATTAATAATGATAATTAATCAATAATTATAATAATAATGAAATTATGAAAATGATAGACAAAAAGCTCAAAAATGATGATAATATTTGTTGTATAAAAGAGATTAAATTTTCAAAACTTTGTCAAACATTAAACTTTCATAAATATGTGAAACAAATGCGTGTTTTTGTTGTGTTTGAAGCAATTCTTGAAGACTTGTTGGTTGTGGTGATGACCACCGCCGATATATCTCTAACTAAAACTCTAACTAAACTAACCTTTGATTAGACTCTTATCGAGAATTGCAAACAACGTTTTGGCAGACGTTTTATCTCACTGTTAGAAGTGATCACTGTATGAGTGCATTATCACCGCTTATCACTTGAAAACATACCATTCTTTGCAATATCTCCTTCACTGGTATACAACATATAAAAAGTTATGTATATTTTAGGAGCTCGCACACCGACCGAACCGAGTGTTGGCTCCAACCAAACGACAGATCATTTAATTTAACAACTCGTGACAAAGTTGTAATGAGTTCGTTAACACAGCACAGGCAGCACAGCCAGCACAGGGCGCACATACACTACACACAGACATAGCCGTAGCCATAGACAAGCCAAGGATGCCTTACGCATAGAATCTCATATATACTGCACTGGAATCGTATGCTATACTCACTATACTGTAGTGTATTCCCCGACTCTCTCTCCAATTCTCTCGTATTCTCTCGTCGTATGTATAATACAGTTGAGTTGAGTTCGAGTGTATTGTACTGTATATTATGTAATGTTATGTATAGACAGATAACAGACACACAAAGCATTAGAGTATAAGAGAGTCTAACGAGAGATACGGAGAGAGAATGAGAGAGAGTCGGGAGTGAGTCGGGAGTGAGTGTGGAGTGCGCTGTACTCTACTTAAGACAAACTCATTGGTGATCAGCGTTTGGCTCTTTTGATCAGATTATCATTGCTTTGCAATTGAATTCATTCACCGATTATTGTGAACACATCTGTAGAAGAGATGCGATCACTATTTGAATACATTTTACAAACGCTTTCGCATCGATACGAACAAAATCATGAAATGAATTAATTAATGAGAAAAATGCTTTAAAAATTCAAACAATTGTTAAACTAAGAAAATGTAGTTTTCATCACATGTGAGCAAATCATTATATAATAAATGAAATTATACACTATATGCGAATGCAATTAACTTAAATAATAGACACCTTTGAGAGGGCTTTAGGCCCCACTAATGATTCATTAATGGGTTTTATGTATATTATATATAATATACAGATATATATATTTATATAAAAGATTAAACACAATTAAAAGACTCGATTTGTAATGAATTTCTTGAAACCGCCAACAATTTGATTCCTTTGGATATAATTCCTCAACAATTAGACCAATAATTATCCAAATCAGAGGTCAGACCAAACACTTCCACTTCGACACCACTTTTCAAGACATACAAGAGTTTTGCGTTCAGTTATATCCCATTTAGTTTAGTGGCAATTAATTTTTGATTTTTGTTTCATAATTATTTAAATGACTGTTTGTTTCATTTGTTAGATAATAGATATATTTGGCTTATATAACAAATTCATGATTAATGTTAAAGTATTTAGTAATCGTTTTGTAATACTTTAATAATAAGAAGTATAAGTTTTATACATTTTCTTGTATACAATGTCTCATTGTTTTCTTAATAATCAATGTAAGTATGGCTTCAAAGTATAGATTTAAGCAAAAAATCAAATCTGATAATAATATGTCCATTAATTTTATAGACATAATCACAAGTAATTATCTAAAAAAGCAAGAAATGGTAACAAATTTCTTAGTCCTAACAAGAGATCACTTTTCATTGAAAAAGAGGTGAATTCTGTGAAACGTTACGAAAATGTTTTTGAATTGAATATCATTAATGGTTTTTATATCACCAATAGCACTGTAAGAGTAGTGATTATTATAGACTAAGTCTCGGGTGAAATACACACTCTATATGTTGGTATTGATGATAAGAAAGTGTTGTGTAATTTTAGTGACAAACGTATAGTTAACTTAACATACAATGTGTTTAAAGTTTCTCGACTCCAGAAACTGGCAAATGTCTGATTTGTTTGCAGCAAATGGTAACTCATGTGGCCTTTTAGGCTAATGACTCAACTTATTAATGGTTTTGAATGACTTGAATTCAAATCAAGATATAACTTATTTTGGAGTTAGGGTTGGAGTGGCTGTGGATGTGGAGTGGTATGCGTTTGGCTCACGTCTAACATTGGATTTACACAATCGCTTGAATCACTTCAATTCATATGCAGTTATCTGCAGGTCTCAACAACACAAACATATAATGGCATTAAATTACAATAAATATGAGGACAATATTATTATCATTATATATAACATGAATTCAATTAATTATCAGAAGTGTTATCCGAAAGTGTAGTTTACGCTTCGTATCGATCCATAACTTTAAGCTATTTTTACAGAATGTGTGACAAAATACAAGTCAAGACTTGTTAGAGCCTTATAAAGAGGTGCCAAATGTCTAATAGATTGCATTTGAAGCCCTTTTTGATCGCTATTTGTTATACTAGTAACCAATTAAGCGAATAACAAACAAAAGTTATATTTTGCTTTTTCTTGTTTATCGTAATACTATAAAGTCATTCAATTATATAATTTAATAGTGAAGTCAAAAATTTCACATAATTTGCCTCAATTTACACGAGAATATAGTATAACAGGAACTCATGTATTCATTAGTGAAGTGAAATTAGCAGAGAATTGCAGTATCGACTCAATCGACTATTTTTTACTTATTATTTATCTATGCGTACAAAATAACAAAAAATCGGAATTTAATTGCTTTAGTTATGAGATTTGTTTTTCAAAAATTGCAAATAATTTTTGTTTCTTTTTTTCAATAGGATTGGATTTGTGTTAGATTTAAAGCTAATAAATGATTTTAAGGTCTGTCTCGGAGTTGTATGTCTCGGGTGACTGTTATTGAGCTAATGCTATTAAAGAGATTAATATGAAATAAATGTCCAGCACATGTATGGTATTCACGGAATCGGTCTATAATTTGCAAAATAGCATCATAATAATGAATACCAGAGTTTTTTCGTATGAAATAACTGTTTGGGATTTTGTGGCCATTCTATTGAACTAAGCATTGAATGAAAATCATTTGCGAAACACTGATTCAAACATTGCTGCAGGAAATCAATTCTCAAAGACCTGGTTAGAGGCAAACCATTTGAAATGACTAAATCTGATAGATATTCAAATCGCATGTTTAATGCATGCAATTTGTTTGGTGTAATGAAATTTTGTGCGGATATCAAAGGGGTTTTAATTAAAAATATATAACGTATCATTGAATTAGACAATGATTTTGATAGCACCAGAAATACTAATATCGGTTCAAATTAAAACTAATTGTTTGACACATGAAGCAATTGATGCCAATGAGGGCTTACAGTCTCCTCTTCCCTACCATTCCTCATTGGATTAGTCAGCCCTACAGGCCTTTGATATTCAATAGCTATTATAAGTGCATCAAATCATTTTGTTTGTATGCGATATTTGTGATTGAATTTGTCATCATTT